GGTATTACTATGGCAAATTTCCTTTGGATAGGTAGAGACTAGTCCCCCAAATTTTGTTGAATAGTGTCAGCATGGTTTCCTTAGCTTTGGGTCCCATTCTAATTAGAAATTCCGGATGAATACCGTCTTCGCCAGAAGATGTTTTGCACTTTAGCTGTTTTATTGCAGCATTAAGGTCGTGAGGACTGAATGGTTCAGTAAGTACTTTGTGTGGTATTGTTGTGTCTTCCTTAATTTTACCAAACCGCTTACTTGTTTCTTTATATCTCTTGAATGGTTTCTGGCAATAGGATTTTTCTTTTGCTTGCGGGAATAGAACATCGCAAAGTAGTTAGCCATTTGGGAGTCAGTGCCAAGCAGTTTGTTGTTTAATCTTATTGTCATTTTCTTGGGCCTTGCACTTGTTCTTTAGGAGGTTACACAGGAATGTGAAAGTGCGTTGGCTGTCATTTTAATAGTTGATATTTGAGATGAATTTGTCGATGGTAATCCGTTTGGCTTGTAAGATGACTTGCCTTAGGACAGCTGACTGCACTCTTCAGGCTCGTACGTCTTCAGTTCTTCCAGTCTGTTCAGCAGTGTTCTTTTCAGTCCCTCTAGGTGTTTGGGCAAAAAACACTCGAAAGTGTTTGGTCTTGCTACGGGAATAGTTTCTTTGCACATCTGATCATAATATTTGTGATATTGTTGCACAGTATGTCACGATGATGAGACTTGATTGAAGTTCGTTTTCTAAAAAGGTTTGTGAAACTAGATCAGTCGGCCTTCTTGAAGTTCCATGATAGTTTGGTTGGCATTTTCGTCGTCTTTGATTTCCTTTCCAGCTGTGTTTTATGTTCTTATGACCCCATCTGGTGGAATGGGCGTTGAAATCGCCAAGTGCTACAGTTTTGGGTGAGATTATCAGAAGGTCGAAGTTGGATCTATTCTGTATTGGATTTTAGACAGCCTATATCTTAAATTGGTTTTGACATTGTCAATTATTTAATATAATTAATTCGCATTTAACTTGAGTTGAACGTATACTTTTGATTAGTTTGCAATGTGATGTGAGGCTTTGTTTTACTCCAGTCAAAAGTCCACTTGCCACTTGCCGGTCTTTAGGTAGGAAATATAAGGTGTAACCTGGGAATTGGGGGTATTTGAGATGGTCAACCGTAAGGTTGGTTTTCATGATTGAGAATATGCCTATTGCATAGGTATGCAGGATTTTCTGGAATTGGATCTTCATGTCTTGTAAAATCCTATCAGCATTCCAATAAAGGCTCTGTGGAAGTTATGATTCGCCCTGACAAGAGCCATTTCTCATATAGTTTCGTTTCAGGCTGATCATAATAATTTAACGTCAACTACCGTGTTATAGTTTTTTGCCGTATGAGTATACGGCACACCCCTAGTCTGTCATATATGTTTGAAATAATGCTTGTATGATAATATGCTTCCATTGCAAAATATTAGCTTACGTAGCAAGAAAAATCCCTATATTTCATAAATAATCACAACGTTTCTTAGATTAAACCTTTAAAAATATAAATTTTCATAAGGTACAACCTTTTAATAATATTTTCTGAAATTGAAATTAAACTAGAAAGAAAAGAAAATTTATTAAATATGACGCAAAAATTAAAAAAATTAAAAATGCTCAAATATAAATTTTAATTTAATTGTAATTTTTCATTCGAAATTAATGAAATATACCCAAATTTTTAATTAAACATTCGTTGTTTTGGGTTTTAATTTGCCATCGCCCAACAAAATATCAGGCGCAACTTTGGAAAGGTGTTGGTCGCATCTGTTCATTTTGACGTGGCGCTGAATATTGGTTCCAATTGGATATAGATCGGTATAAGATCAGCTAAAAATGGGTTTATCAATCTCAAAACTGCTTACTCAATTCCTCGGAAAGAAGAATGTCCGAATTTTAATGGGTAAGTTTTGTGTCCTTTTAATGTTAGACTTGTACTTCCAGCAGAATGTGTGCCATTTTCTCCATACTCTAATTACTTCTATTAATCAACCGCTTAATTTATGGCATATTCTTAATGTTGCTGTCTTATTTCGGCTATTTAATTTAGTATGTGCGGTGTTAAATCCTATTCTATATAGTTAAGCCATGTAGTCCGTCCTCCATAAGTCTACTATATTTTCCTTTTTCTCATTTTGATTAATACAATTTCAGTGGGGCTCGATGCTGCTGGCAAGACTACCATCTTATACAAAATGAAGTTAGGTGAAATAGTTACAACTATTCCCACAATTGGTTTCAACGTTGAGTCAGTTGAATATCGCAACCTTAATTTCACTGTGTGGGATGTCGGTGGCCAAGATAAGATTCGTCCTCTCTGGCGTCATTATTTCCAGAATACACAAGGTCTAATCTTTGTGGTTGACAGCAACGATCGAGATCGCATCGGCGAGGCGGCCGAAGAGCTTCAGAGGATGCTTTCTGAGGAAGAACTTGCCAGTGCTGTTGTTCTTGTTTTTGCCAATAAGCAAGATCTTCCCAACGCCATGAGCACTCCTGAAGTTAGCGATAAGTTGAAGCTCCACAGTCTCCGTAATCGGGAGGTAAGCATCGCTAATGTAAACCTTTCTATTCCACATTTTCACCTTTCTCTAATGTGCTTGTTTGTTTTGTTTAGTGGCATATTCAAAGTTCCTGTGCAACAACTGGAGATGGTCTTTATGAGGGCATGGATTGGCTTTGTGATAAGCTAGGCAAGAGATCCTAAATGTTTATCGTAACTATGTTACCTCTGCTCACCTATCTGTACTTCAATTCTCTTACCTCCCCTTTCCTCCTCCCTAATCTTCTTTGTATCACTCTGTCTGTATTCTTATTGTGCTCGATTTGATGCACGAACATTCCATTGGATTTATTGGTTGTCTGTTTGTTGACCTCGCTCACTTTTATCCCCATTTTTTGTTTCTCCACTTCTCTTTACCCTTCCTCTCCATGTCCTAGCAATACTGCCTCAAGAATTGCTACTTGTTTGGCTTTATTTGAATCCCCACGGCTGTACTATATATACGACTTTCTTGCGAGATCGTTTTGTTCTAATTAGAATACCCATCGTCTTCACCATGCTCTTCCCTCGCCGTTTGTTCCATTTCTTCGGACATGCTTATTATCTACTGAAATCATAGGAGTAATGCGTAATGCATCTGAAATTTTGTGGCTTACTGTAGTTAATGCGATTTTTATGGGCAAATTGGAGGTAGGTTTCTCATCAAAGGTATTTAACTGGAAGACTGGTACGTTTTTCGTTGTCTTCTGAGTGCCAGTTTTTGAAGTTTCCAATACGTTTGAAACTGCTTGTTGGTCACGAAATGTGGGGTTCGCGAATTTCTTATTTCCGAGGTTTTTTACTTTATGCGAGGGCAATTGTTTTTCCCCTCGTTTTGTCGGCAGAGGATTAACTTGAATGTGTCATATTTTTTAGGCCTTGAAATCGAGCCGCTTTGTTGAGGGTATCTGGAATTGCCGATTAAGATAAACATGTTAAATTCAAGGTCCTTATCCAATTCTGATCAACAAATTGGGAGAAAGCGATTTTTTAAGGGCTTAAATGCTTTTCTTCAATTGGCTCAAAGCTTTTCCAGCTAAGTGCAGATTTCTGATTCAAAGAAGCAAGGCGTTCTACGCATGATGACAGTACAATCTAGGGTTTTGAAATTTATTAAAATCGTTAGGTATTACGCATAATTTAATCAAATGGAGGGTGTGGGGACCGCCGCCACATTAATCAAAGGCCTTGTTACTGTGCATAAAACCCTATCAATTTGTGACGACTACTCATATCCATCATCGTATTTGGCTACTGGTTCTCCAGTTACCCGTATAAACTTAATCCCCCTCCGCTGTCGTGGCATTGAGCTAGTCTGCCAACTTTTTTATAATTGCTTGGTTGCCCTTTACATATCGGCACGCTACCCAGACGCCAAGACCGTAAGAGATGATCCTGCATATTCAAGTATGATAGTAGGAATCAAGTAAGTGAGCCGAAAAATATTCAACTAGGCTTCCAAAGGTAAATGTGCCGTAATCTAAATGAGAACACTCATTCAGCAATTCCTGCGCTGAGCGCAATTAAACGTAGCAAGTGATTTCAAAGGCAAAAGGGATACTGATAAAACTAAGGGAAATCATCTTAATTGCAATATCTAATCCTATTGATTTTTCCTCCTTTAAACTGCTTCAAGGTAATACAGCATTACCCAAAATTGATGGCTCAATGAATCAATATTTTTCTTAATATTTTCGGTTTAAGAGACCTTTATAATGGTCAAAATGGAGATGGCCTTATTAACAAAGCAATTTAAGCTAGTCTTCGTTCACTTGTTCCGTGTAAGCCTCATTATTCGACTTGTACATCATTTATTGTTAAAACATTTAAATCTGTTTCCTAATCCCCATCATTAGTTTGTGGCCGACATCAGTTCTACTTCTAGTACCTGCACATGGTAATTTATAGGCCCGTTCAGCATAGCTACAGAGTAATTTACTTTCTTGAAGCTTTTCTGGAAATCCCACTTCCACGCATAGAGCTCTTATTCTGACTTCTTCCTTTCTTGGCCCTCTCACTCCGCATCGATCATCCGATACACTACCAATTCACCCTAACTCTCATCCTTCTGACTAGGAAAAGTTTCGTATTCTGTCAGCCTTACTTGATTAGATCATAGACGTTGTATTATAACTCGTTCTAAGAGGGTTAGGGATTTATAAAGCATACGAAAGCAATAGTCACGTTGGCGATCTTCAGATGGGATCGGATGAAGTAAAGTTCTTCTATTTCCCCGGCACACACTTCTATTGCTCTATATTCTCTGAAAATTTCCCCTTAAATGGAACATTTATTTATATCAAATGGCAGGCGTCTTGATGGTTATCATTAGCCCTTTAGTTGACTTCAGACTTCACAGAGGAGAAGGAACATCAAATGGTAAAAGTCGAGAGGGGGGACAGAAGAGTGTTTCAAAGATGTAAGAGACAAACACAAAGGTAGAAAAAAGGTAAGAAGAATACTGTGGAAATAGTCGAATATGGCATAGAGTGAGGTGGTGGTAGTTTGAAGTGAGAAGTCAACTGCCGGTTAATAGACTTTTTGCCGTATGAGTATACGCTGCCCAGGGTGCACCACGTGGAGGTAAGTCTATCGCACACCCCAG